CCATCGCATCATACATTTCTTCATGGTAAAAAATGTTACAGCTATTATGACAAAGAATCAAATCAAATCTCCATTAGTCCAATTCACAAACAAACAAAAAACTCCGAGAGAAAAGTAATCAACTTTAGTCAATTTCAATCACAAAACAAGACTCGAATTTTAGATTTGTATAAACATACAAATAAGAAGATTCTTTGGGTTTTGAGTTTTCTTCTACGAATCACTAAAATCATCAAACTCAAGAGGGTATTTGGTCATGATGATTAAAAAGCAAATCAAAGCACGAAACTTTTGTAATCTAATTGAGAAACCCATTTCTAATAAGAACTTTAAACCCTAAATTGAATCGGAGGTCAAATCTAGCTAAGGCATAACACCTACTTCTTACAACGATTTATAATCTAATTAAGTACCTTCTCAGTGTAGCCGGTGACGGAAGGCGGCAAATCCGCGGTGGAGACGGTGGCGAGAGTCGCAAGGGGAACCGAATTCAAAAGCGGTCCAATTCCGTATAGTCTATAGACTATAGAGTGTGACACTTAATAATATATATATATATTCTTTTCTTTTTTTTTTCTTTGAAACAAATGAAAAAACTCGATTTTTCTTTTCTGTTTTTTCGTGATCTGAATTTTATTTTGGGGAAATTTTTTCCATTTTGTAGATTGAGCTAAATGATTCTAAAATTTTACTTCTCTGATAAAATAATTAAGTGGAAAAACTCATAATTAATCAATATTTAGAGTTGGCATAAATCACAACAATCAGGTTATTTTACAAAATATTATGTTGCTTAATGATAAAATTGTGTATTATTGAACGGGTGATTGATGGGATTGTAGTATTTATTTTAATTCATAACTACGTAGTTTTTTTTTTCCTCTAAATGAAATAGATGARATTTTATACCACAAATGCTTAACCACATCGATATAATTTTTTTAAAGATAAGTTCTTCCTCACTAAGAACATAATCAATGGTAGGTTTTAAGTGATTTTTAATGGGTTTCTAAAAAATTAAAAAAAATTAAATAATACACAAAATTTAAGAATTRCAATAAAAAGGTTCTAATTTTAGAGATTAAGAATTCTAAAATGTGAGAGATTTAAAATCCCAAAACAATTTATAGTAAAAAATCATTAAAAATCCTAACTTAAAACCTACAATTAATTATGCTCTAAGAAGATYTTCTAAACATGACAGGCAAATTAGTTAACTCTGGCACACAAAAATCTGATCAGTTCAAGAAAAAATTGCAGTCCAACTAAAACAGTGAAACTCAATACAGTACAACTACACGAAAACTAATACCGTAGAATCTAGTAGGAAGAAAACTAAACTTTTCTCATTTTTATCTTTCGTTCGATGTCATGGGATGTAACTGGAGTGCGACATGTAGGGCACTGTGATTGC